CAATTTTTGAAAAAAAAGACAGTTTGATTTTAATAAATTTATTTAATAAATGTCAAAACCAAATGAACTTGTTGCACTGATTTTCAAGTTGACTGAAGCATGCTAATTTTTTCCTTCATTCATTTTTCCCTAAAATATAAGCATCAAAGTTCATTCATACATAAGTGGAGTCTGTTATTCAAATAGTGTCTGAAGATCCAACTGTTTGTTTTGCCGTCATTTCTTCCCAAGAGCAGAAAAAAAGTCGTTCTAACTAATATTGAGTATTGCAGCAACAGGAAACAAGAAACACAGGAAATACAAATACTTACTAGTAAAGTCAATTAATTTTAAAGAAGTTGGCAACAGCCGAGCCTATAAACGAATGTTTTAAACAGAAACAGGCGTATCTCTAGAATAATTGCCCAGGATGGGGCCGATTTGGAGAAAAAAATCGTATAGGTGGCGGACAAATTTGACCTGTAAGAGCTTCTAAATTTTGAAAACCCCAAAAAAGTTAAGTTTTCTAGCTACTCCTTATCCCCAATTTCAATTCAGAGACGTTTAAAAACGGACTCTTTGGTCCAAAGACATTCTCTCAGACTTCACTCTGGGATATATTTGTTACCAAAATCGTAGTATTATTATGATTATTTTTAATTAAGAAAAGAAAGTCGTGCCGAGTTTGAAATAAATTTCTGCACCTAAAATAAATATTCGATTCTGATTGGTTGAGCATTGAACTTAGCGACCCCCCCCCCTCACATGAATTCTTTGGAGGAAGTGGATGGTTGCTTGATCCAGAAATGTAACACATTTTGATTCTGTTCATTGAACTATCTGACTGTTAAAATTGTCCCTGTCACACCAAAATGCAATTTTCACTTACTATTTCATCCAATTTTATGCACCAGATGCGTTTCCATAAAAATAATTACCAGAACATTTTTTCAATTTAATGGCATAGAATTAAAATTACTATTTTGCAAGTTGAAGCGCCATTTGCACACAATTGAATTCATTCCTTAACTGCAATTTCAATGTATTTATCACAAAACCGTTAACGATTACTTTATGAATGTTTTGTTGAAAGTTATCTTTTCCATAAAATTTTTGCGCTGCAAAATCGGACTTCCCACTGAAAATCTGTCAACACGTCATAAAATACAGCCGAAAAATTGAAATTTTTGGGAACTTATTGCTGCATAAAACTGGTTATGAATTTCCTTGTTTAAAACATCATTAAACCATTCATTTTACAACAGCCACTATCATTTATTACAACCAGAGGTTATTGATCTTGAAAAGTAGTTTATGCTTGAATATATTGACCTGTTTTTCTCACAATTTCTCCTGCTATTTTTGAAATTATAAAATCATAATTATATCAAAGCTTAGTTTTTGAATTATCCGGTTATTCAGGACACACGCAACCCCGTCCATATTATACAAAAAAAGTTTGATAATAAATCCGAACCAGAAAAAAAAACATTTATAGTTTTATCTCTCACTGTTATTTAGCAACTATAACAAATATATTTAACTCTCTTAAAACGTGTTTATACTGCTCAAAAAATATCATTTCAAAAATTCGTGTATATTTCTGTGCTGTCTTCTCCAAAAACTCTGTGCTGTAAAATCTCCTCCAAAAACACCTATAAAATATTTAGTTTAATTTCTCTGTCTGTCTAGTTTATATTTGTGGGTTAAAACATGGGTTGCACTACTAGTACTGAGGGGAGTTCACCTCGGGACAGTGAGGGGGGAGGAGGGGGGTATGAAAAAAGGGAGGACGTCCGACCTCTTGACTCTTCCAAACAGACGACACACGCAGCCAAGAAAAAGTGAGTATTGTCGTTGGGGTGCCTAGCCAAACTTCTCAAATTTGTTTTTGGTAAAAAAATTATTTTGAGAAAAATAGCTGCTGCACAGGCAAATTTTTAAGGGAAGAGGCCAAAATTGTTGCCTAGCGAAAACTTGTAGCATATCAGATTAAAATAAAGAAAAATAAATTCGCGATGTTTTCGGTTTAACATGGAGAAAATTCCAACTCCAAAAGGACTTTTACTTTGAAATTTACCTCCGGCAAATGTTCGTGCACAGGTGATAATAGAATATTTCAAACACCAAAACAAGCGTATAATAATGCCGATACCTTCTTTTAACCAACTTTTCGTTTTTATATCCTCAAACAACCACTTCAACGATCACATAAATACACAATCGAGAAAATCTTAGATCAACCCCTCTGTATCTATATAAACAAGACCGCTCGTAAATCAGGACATTACGGGGTAGTCTGAATGTTCCGACTACCCCGTATTTCATATCGTATAGTTTTTAGGGAAAAAGTTTAAAAAACTATAAATTTCGGAAAAAACTACTAAGTAAAAGTTTGAGTCGTATAATTTTTTTTTGCGATACATTAGCTAGCCTCATCTCAGTTTGGAACAATCTGTTTGTGCGGAATAAATCGCCCCGCATGAAAAATTCGTGGTAGGTTTTCAGCATTATGAATAAAATCTTCAAAAGGCGCATCAATTAGTCCAGAGCATGGGCAAATTGGCAATTTTCAACTTCCCAGAACTTTGCAAAAAATAATCCAAGATAAAAATTTTAGCATAACAAATTTCTTATAACAAACCTTAGGATTTCAATATCTTTAATGCAGTAGAAAAATTTCTTGTCAAAAACTATTATTTCGATCGCCGAAAATTGACTGAAAATAAAAACCAACTCTAGAATAAATATTCCGTTTTCTTCGAAAATCGGAACAAAACCCATTAATTGCCTGGAATGCGAAAATGGCAGCTGAACTTCTTCCAGTGAATGACGTCATTGTTTAAAATTGGTGCAATTTCTGTAAAATCTGAAAACTGATCTCGAATGTGATAAGAACGCTTTGAAAATCCGGTATTTTCCTGAATTGAGCTTGCAAGATTTTTCTAATCCGTTGCGTCAGTGTGCTTGTAATGTTCTGAATCCGTACTTGAGAACATATAGAAAAAAGTATGAAGTAAAAATTTGAAAACAATTCATTTTTGGTTTTTATCTACATCGTGTATATGTAGTGCAATCAGTGTGAGGAACAAATTTTATACCCAATTCCGAAAGAAAAAAATGGCATTCAGTAAGTTTTAACCTAATTCAAACTGTACATCCTAGAATTGCTTTATACCTGTGCAAAAACAATTTTTTTCAATTGTTTTCAATTTTTTAAAAATGTTTGCTCCTTAAGATTGATAATTTTGGAAGTTTTTGGCTAATGATGTTTTTGAAAGAGCGCAAGAGATAAGCTATGAAATGGCAAAAACAACTACTGTAACGAAACTGCAGAAAAGAAAAGCGTATTTTTTGATGCTTGTTGTTTGAAAAACGCAATAACTGATCAAAAAACCTATTCCAGGCAAAAAAGTTTCACGTTTTTAGCGCGGATTGAACCACACTATTAGAACATATCTAGGTTTACAGCACAAAAAAAAAGATTATACAAAACCTAAAGTGGATAAATTATGAGCAATCTCTTGAGAAACGTCAAACCTGTTTCCAAGTTTTTAGATATTTTTTAATCTGAGCTTTGAATAGTTTAGACATTGCAAGTTTTTTGAGTAAAATAGGAATTGCACTGATATTTTTCTTAACGTTTACAAAAATTGAAAGTTGTATGTTTTTTTTAGGTCTTTTTAGAGCTTTAGGAGAGCTCGGAAAATCAATTTGGTCGACCTAAAAAAAAGGTCGACTAAATTTTCGAAATTTTTTTGAAAATCCGCCCCTCCCCCCTCGAGAAAATCCTAGATCAGCCTCTGCAGATGGTCATAGCCTTGTGTGGTACTTTCTTTGTAGCCTGATAGTTTTGGTTCTAAAATGATTCGATGACTACTGCGGAATTTTTTACTGAAATTGAAGTATTTGAAGTAATGTCTTCAAACACTTGCTGTCTTCTTTCAAAAGACAGCAAGTGTTTAAAATCAAATTTCATTGCAACTGGCTGTTAATTAAATTTTATTCGACAATTTTTGAAAAAAAAGACAGTTTGATTTTAATAAATTTATTTAATAAATGTCAAAACCAAATGAACTTGTTGCACTGATTTTCAAGTTGACTGAAGCATGCTAATTTTTTCCTTCATTCATTTTTCCCTAAAATATAAGCATCAAAGTTCATTCATACATAAGTGGAGTCTGTTATTCAAATAGTGTCTGAAGATCCAACTGTTTGTTTTGCCGTCATTTCTTCCCAAGAGCAGAAAAAAAGTCGTTCTAACTAATATTGAGTATTGCAGCAACAGGAAACAAGAAACACAGGAAATACAAATACTTACTAGTAAAGTCAATTAATTTTAAAGAAGTTGGCAACAGCCGAGCCTATAAACGAATGTTTTAAACAGAAACAGGCGTATCTCTAGAATAATTGCCCAGGATGGGGCCGATTTGGAGAAAAAAATCGTATAGGTGGCGGACAAATTTGACCTGTAAGAGCTTCTAAATTTTGAAAACCCCAAAAAAGTTAAGTTTTCTAGCTACTCCTTATCCCCAATTTCAATTCAGAGACGTTTAAAAACGGACTCTTTGGTCCAAAGACATTCTCTCAGAATTCACTCTGGGATATATTTGTTACCAAAATCGTAGTATTATTATGATTATTTTTAATTAAGAAAAGAAAGTCGTGCCGAGTTTGAAATAAATTTCTGCACCTAAAATAAATATTCGATTCTGATTGGTTGAGCATTGAACTTAGCGACCCCCCCCCTCACATGAATTCTTTGGAGGAAGTGGATGGTTGCTTGATCCAGAAATGTAACACATTTTGATTCTGTTCATTGAACTATCTGACTGTTAAAATTGTCCCTGTCACACCAAAATGCAATTTTCACTTACTATTTCATCCAATTTTATGCACCAGATGCGTTTCCATAAAAATAATTACCAGAACATTTTTTCAATTTAATGGCAAAGAATTAAAATTACTATTTTGCAAGTTGAAGCGCCATTTGCACACAATTGAATTCATTCCTTAACTGCAATTTCAATGTATTTATCACAAAACCGTTAACGATTACTTTATGAATGTTTTGTTGAAAGTTATCTTCTCCATAAAATTTTTGCGCTGCAAAATCGGACTTCCCACTGAAAATCTGTCAACACGTCATAAAATACAGCCGAAAAATTGAAATTTTTGGGAACTTATTGCTGCATAAAACTGGTTATGAATTTCCTTGTTTAAAACATCATTAAACCATTCATTTTACAACAGCCACTATCATTTATTACAACCAGAGGTTATTGATCTTGAAAAGTAGTTTATGCTTGAATATATTGACCTGTTTTTCTCACAATTTCTCCTGCTATTTTTGAAATTATAAAATCATAATTATATCAAAGCTTAGTTTTTGAATTATCCGGTTATTCAGGACACACGCAACCCCGTCCATATTATACAAAAAAAGTTTGATAATAAATCCGAACCAGAAAAAAAAAACATTTATAGTTTTATCTCTCACTGTTATTTAGCAACTATAACAAATATATTTAACTCTCTTAAAACGTGTTTATACTGCTCAAAAAATATCATTTCAAAAACTCGTGTATATTTCTGTGCTGTCTTCTCCAAAAACTCTGTGCTGTAAAATCTCCTCCAAAAACACCTATAAAATATTTAGTTTAATTTCTCTGTCTGTCTAGTTTATATTTGTGGGTTAAAACATGGGTTGCACTACTAGTACTGAGGGGAGTTCACCTCGGGACAGTGAGGGGGGAGGAGGGGGGTATGAAAAAAGGGAGGACGTCCGACCTCTTGACTCTTCCAAACAGACGACACACGCAGCCAAGAAAAAGTGAGTATTGTCGTTGGGGTGCCTAGCCAAACTTCTCAAATTTGTTTTTGGTAAAAAAATTATTTTGAGAAAAATAGCTGCTGCACAGGCAAATTTTTAAGGGAAGAGGCCAAAATTGTTGCCTAGCGAAAACTTGTAGCATATCAGATTAAAATAAAGAAAAATAAATTCGCGATGTTTTCGGTTTAACATGGAGAAAATTCCAACTCCAAAAGGACTTTTACTTTGAAATTTACCTCCGGCAAATGTTCGTGCACAGGTGATAATAGAATATTTCAAACACCAAAACAAGCGTATAATAATGCCGATACCTTCTTTTAACCAACTTTTCGTTTTTATATCCTCAAACAACCACTTCAACGATCACATAAATACACAATCGAGAAAATCTTAGATCAACCCCTCTGTATCTATATAAACAAGACCGCTCGTAAATCAGGACATTACGGGGTAGTCTGAATGTTCCGACTACCCCGTATTTCATATCGTATAGTTTTTAGGGAAAAAGTTTAAAAAACTATAAATTTCGGAAAAAACTACTAAGTAAAAGTTTGAGTCGTATAATTTTTTTTTGCGATACATTAGCTAGCCTCATCTCAGTTTGGAACAATCTGTTTGTGCGGAATAAATCGCCCCGCATGAAAAATTCGTGGTAGGTTTTCAGCATTATGAATAAAATCTTCAAAAGGCGCATCAATTAGTCCAGAGCATGGGCAAATTGGCAATTTTCAACTTCCCAGAACTTTGCAAAAAATAATCCAAGATAAAAATTTTAGCATAACAAATTTCTTATAACAAACCTTAGGATTTCAATATCTTTAATGCAGTAGAAAAATTTCTTGTCAAAAACTATTATTTCGATCGCCGAAAATTGACTGAAAATAAAAACCAACTCTAGAATAAATATTCCGTTTTCTTCGAAAATCGGAACAAAACCCATTAATTGCCTGGAATGCGAAAATGGCAGCTGAACTTCTTCCAGTGAATGACGTCATTGTTTAAAATTGGTGCAATTTCTGTAAAATCTGAAAACTGATCTCGAATGTGATAAGAACGCTTTGAAAATCCGGTATTTTCCTGAATTGAGCTTGCAAGATTTTTCTAATCCGTTGCGTCAGTGTGCTTGTAATGTTCTGAATCCGTACTTGAGAACATATAGAAAAAAGTATGAAGTAAAAATTTGAAAACAATTCATTTTTGGTTTTTATCTACATCGTGTATATGTAGTGCAATCAGTGTGAGGAACAAATTTTATACCCAATTCCGAAAGAAAAAAATGGCATTCAGTAAGTTTTAACCTAATTCAAACTGTACATCCTAGAATTGCTTTATACCTGTGCAAAAACAATTTTTTTCAATTGTTTTCAATTTTTTAAAAATGTTTGCTCCTTAAGATTGATAATTTTGGAAGTTTTTGGCTAATGATGTTTTTGAAAGAGCGCAAGAGATAAGCTATGAAATGGCAAAAACAACTACTGTAACGAAACTGCAGAAAAGAAAAGCGTATTTTTTGATGCTTGTTGTTTGAAAAACGCAATAACTGATCAAAAAACCTATTCCAGGCAAAAAAGTTTCACGTTTTTAGCGCGGATTGAACCACACTATTAGAACATATCTAGGTTTACAGCACAAAAAAAAGATTATACAAAACCTAAAGTGGATAAATTATGAGCAATCTCTTGAGAAACGTCAAACCTGTTTCCAAGTTTTTAGATATTTTTTAATCTGAGCTTTGAATAGTTTAGACATTGCAAGTTTTTTGAGTAAAATAGGAATTGCACTGATATTTTTCTTAACGTTTACAAAAATTGAAAGTTGTATGTTTTTTTTAGTGTATATAACATATCAATGGGTTATAACTTTAGATTATTTTTTTGTGAATAGTTAAAGTATTTTAAGGCGGAGGAAGTAAAGCTTTGCATTCAAATTGTAACATTGGTTGTCTTGGTGAAAATCTCCGACCATCTTTTGTATATTACTGGTGAAAAATGGAAAAAAATCTCAAAAATTGTTCATTGAGAACTTAAGCAGTTTCTGAAAATATTTGTTCCGTATTGCATTAAATAACCTCATGGTTTTTTTGTCAATCAGATAGTTTTCAATTTTTCTCACAAATTTTAGGTAATATCTGAAACTCTCTGAAAGATATCATACACCGCTCGTTAACACAAAAATCCACGTACACGAAATTTCAAAAATTTTTCAATAGGGTCAGTTTAGGATAATAACAGCATTCAAATCTTCCATTTGCCTATTAGAGAGAGAGAGAGCGTGTGCTCTCATAGATACCAAACATATCACTCAAACAGATCATTATGTACTTAACATAGCATGAGACCAAAAGTTAGTCTCAAAAAGTTTGAGAAAATAAAAAATGATTCCAAAGTTAGGAGTTTTTTTCTTCAAACTTAATAAATCTTCTCAAACAGAATTTTTAAAGCTAAAAAACATTTCAGCAGTAGCCAATTTAGGGGTGCGGCGCGAATACCTTCTCCCAAGAGACTCGATAGTATGACGACTCGAAGGTCCCCCTTTGAAAATGTTTAGTGATATCCATTTTTGAACGACAGACTCAAAATCTTTTCAATGGGCATCAATGGCGCCAATTTAAAGTGCATTTGACAAAGAAGAGCGCTGAAAAACCCAATTTTCTGGTCAAAGTTTTTCAAAAAATTATAAACGCCATTTTTCGTCTGTTATTTTTTTTAAAGTGACTGCGCTTAAAAATTGCGTCAAACTGAGGTGTTTTTGTTATTTGGGATATTCGCGCAAAATCATATAGGTTGACCAAAAAAAGTTGACAAAATTTAAAAAAATTATTTAGAAAATCCGTTTTCCTCCCCTTTGGTAGAAGAGGTTTGAAAATTGATATGATTTCTACTTTTGAAAACCAACATTGAACCAAAAACTACTCCAGACAATTATTTTATATATTTGCATTTGCCAATTACTTACATTTATATCTGCATAAAACATTACGAAGTTAAAGAAAAAAACACCGAGAAAATCATGCTTTCAAAGTTTTTTTATTGCAGTCTTCGAATCTTAACATGTTCCAAGCAAAACTAAAAACATGAGTTGTCCTTAATTTTTTGCATGAAAACCATGACCTCTGGTTTATTCATGTCGCACATCAAGTTTTCAATCCACCGGATATTTTTTCTGAACATTATGTTTTCATATAATTTTCAGTGGAAATATATTTTCCTTTCCATCAAATGCATCAACGATCGATCATTACACGGTTTTTGATTAACCACATTACATTTAACCCTCTACCCTTGTCTAAGTTCCTTTCTGATAATTGGCTGTCTGAGTTTGTTACTGGCCCAAAGGAATTTTTGGCGCATTGATTGCATCTAGTCTATTATATCTAACATCCACTTGAACCGGTCATTTTGTTGCTAATGAATGATCCATCCTTCTTGGGCGGCAGTCCAAATGAAAGTGCTTCCATTGTCAAGAAATTGTGCCATTCTGCCAGATGACACAGCACAACCTTCCGGCGACGTAAAAAAGAATGACTAAGGGCCTTATGAACAAAAAAGTGTTGCGAAGGAGGGTTAGAATGTTCTAGAATTTTTATTTTTAAAATTTCGATTGAAGAGTGAACATTTCTGAGAAATAGAAAAAGACGGCCATTTTGACTAAAAAAGACGGTAAAACACAACGACGCCATATATTGTGAAGAACAGTCGTACCAGAGACAGGAGAATTACGAAGCCTCTTATCGTGGCAATAACACACGATAAGAACCTTAGCGACGGAAATTTGTGGAGAAGGAGGCTTCAGTGGGGGAAGAAATATACCACGGGACCCTCCCGGGACACGAAAAATAAGAGATAAGACTGTTATCTCAAGAATATTACGGGAGCGGAGGCTTGGTCCCCCAGAGACTGTCTATGTGAAGGGACTGTATAGACTGACTGTATAGCTGCTATAATGTCATAGATCTTAATTAACACCGTTATTGTTTAATATTTCAGAGTATGAGTAGCTAGAAAAAGGAAAGGGTCAATCCATCTCCAATGGATTTAATATAGAACTGTCACACAAAAACATGTTAAAATAGGTTGTTCGAGCCGTGTTTTTAATGACAATCACGTAGTCTGAGGATCCGAGACTCAGCTATGTGGTTGTGTTCGCATGTAAACGAAAGCTGATCAAAAGTCGTTTGACTGATGGCCTAAAAATGGTAACTTTTTACTTTGCCCTAGACAGACCAGAAAATCAACTGGCAAGGTCGAGACGGTGAAAAACGAGTAGAATTAAGGTAACTGACGCCTGCCAGTCGTTAATAGGTACTTTTTCTACGCTCCGTCGCTGTGTGATATTTGGGCGAATGTTACAAATTTGCAATCGTTCACATTGCTTAGTGCACTACTTCATACATGCCTTGATCAGTTTTAAAATGTTGTGTTCTAGTTTATTAGGGATTCGAAAGGGCGAGAAGCTCCTTAATTTTCTTGCCAGTAATGTTCGTCAGTAATGTTCACAATGACCTTTCGTTCGTTCTCTTGTTTCAGATATTTTCTTGTCAAACATTTCCGAAAACTTAAAAAACGCCATTTTTAGTCCGTTTTTTTTTAATTGACTGCGGTGCAATAATGCATCAAACTGAAGTATATAAAGTTAATTGCGATATCTCAGAAAATCAACTTGGGCAATCTGAGAAAAATGTCTACGCTTTCGGAAAAACTTCTGAAAAATAAAGAAAAATGAAGAAAAAAAAATTCGCGACGTTTTCGGTTTAACATGGAGAAAATTCCAACTCCAAAAATACTTTTACTTTGAAATTTACCTCCGGCAAATGTTCGTGCACAGGTGATAATAGAATATTTCAAACACCAAAACAAGCGTTTAATAATGCCGATACCTTCTTTTAACCAACTTTTCGTTTTTATATCCTCAAACAACCACTTCAACGATCACATAAATACACAATCGAAAAAATCTTAGATCAACCCCTCTGTATCTATATAAACAAGACCGCTCGTAAA